CATTCATAGCAGCATTTCAGCTATTTTCAGAAACTTTCTCTAGTTACCATGAATTGTCATTTATAGTACAGATTCACAGATATGAAAGGCAATAGTCTTGCCAATTCACTCTTATACTCGGTAGCATATGCCTTTATGTTCTTGCCAGCAACACAGTGATAGATGGTTTGATTTCCATATGACTGAGCTGTTGCAAAAGTTCCCCTTCTATGCTTTTGGGCTCACATATCTTTATTCCTTTATGAATTTGGCAGAATGAAGCCCATCGAATAGTGTTTCCAATTTCTTCCTAGAAAATCTACTATTCCCAAGTGACCCATCTGGAGACACCCAGATATTTTCTAAGAATCTTTTCTTCCCTTCCCCCACCCGTGACCCTCTCTAATTGGTCATGTTTCATGACAGAATATGCCTCCATCACTATTGGCTCTTCCTCCGATTCAATATATGCATTCGGTGCACACCGCAAATCATAAGTTATATCCATACTTTATGATGTGGGATTCCCCTCTGTATGCTGTGAATATCATTGGGTAATAAAGGAACTGCTTTGGGCCTATAGCAGAGCTTTTGGGAAATAGAGTTACGTGGGGAAAACTAAACTGAATGCTGGGAGAAAGGAGGCAGAGTCAGGAGAAGCCATGCAGCTCTTCAGGACACATATGCCAGAACTTTACCCAGGAAGCCACTGGCAATACACAGATTAATAGAAATTGGTTAAATTAAGATGTAAGAGTTAGCCAATAAAAAGCTAGAGCTAATGGATCAAGCAGTGGTTTAAATAATAAAGTTTCTGTGTGATTGTTTTGGGACTATGTGGCCGGTAACTAACTAGATGCCTCCTTACTACAACTTTAGTTGCTCAAATTGGACATCTCAGGGAAAATTAATTCATGAATTCATGCAAAGGGAAATTGATAAGAGATTCAAATTTTAAATCATGGCAGGATGTCTTTAGTCACAGATGAATGTTTCTAGGCTTCTAGTAGAAATGTCAAAAGACTGAGTGTGTTTTCCCTATGAACAATCTCCTTGTTGAATCAGTTAGATGAGTGTTTGATTATATATGATCCAGCCTAACAACAGGGTATATAACTTCCTTTTTCTTGAGATACTTCAACTGGAGAGAGTATTTCTGCACTGGGTTGAGATGATCAAATGTGATGATGTACCTAACATTTGCCCATTTCAAGGCGGATGATAAAGGCAAGGAGTATCCTGTTTCCTATCCTCAACACATCTCTATTGTTCAATCATAACATTAAATAAGTTGTATACATATTATTACACCTATATGTATATGGCTAAGTTAGAATGATCATGACCCACTATTTATTTCATAGATGTATTTTCTCATGGTCTGTATCCAAGTCTTCCCACAGTGTGTAAAGAAAATTGATTACCAAGCCTGAAACTGAGTAGAGGGTGGAGTGGAGGCAAGAAACGACAGGAAGTAACTCCGTGAAATGACTCAGCCTCCCGGTATAATCGGGGATCTGGGGCCATCTCCTAATTTGAGAATATGATCGTAATTTTTTTTTCTGCAGCTGATCTTTTAAATTAAAAAAAAAAAACAAGCACAGCTGGAAAAACACATGCAAATTTTGGTATTTTGGTCCAGCAATATGCAAGCATATCCACAGTGAGGGTAATTTTCTGAAGCTGCCTCATTAATGAGCTCTAGCCTCTGTGTGTTTCAAGCAATCATGCTGTACTCTAAGAGAGCCATAGTTTTCCGAGTACTACATAAGGTCACGCCATAGAAACAGTGCCTCTCCTCAGGAGGTGCCAGTCTTCGTAGTCAGGAACCTTCCTGTCATAAGGAAATGCATTGCGCATAAACAGTCATGACATGTCCTCCACTCATTTTGCTTTCTTTAGACACACTTGTTACAACCCTTTCTACTTCCAAGGTATGATGCGAAACCACTACTGCAAGGGTGGGCATGACCTCTCCACTTCAAGAACTGTTGGGGCTTAGCTACTGTTAACTGCCTACCATACTGGAAATTTGAAAATAGAAAAAAAATAAAATAGATAATTTGAATTCATCGTCACTACTAGAGGAAAGTAAGATCTGCAATGATGTCATGGAAGCCAGTATCTCTTTAGACATCATTCTGGAAAGGAGTGGCACCTGTGTCTAATGAGCTTCAGGCTCAGTGCACACCCTGAAAGAAACATCACTGGATACAAGGGGAACAATGTGTTCCAACCTTGCAGCCTAACACATACATTTTTTCATAGAATTTTAATTAATACCCTTAACCAGGTTCTAAATGGCTCCCATTTCTTATGCTTGTGAACAAGCATGTCTACTTTCTCTCTCCAGCTCAGGGATGCCATTTTAAGGAGACAGTGGCCAGAAATATGCTGCAGCTCTATTCCTGCAGCTGCGACTCCCAAGCTGGAAGAAGGAAATGTCAGTAATGCAAAAAGCAAAAGGGGAACCGGAGCAATTGGTGCTGCTAGTGCCTGACTCATTAGCATGGGCCATGGTTGATTCTCCAGAGCAGAGAGAAGCTGGCACAGATGCCTGGCAATGCATGCTCAGCTCGATCAGGGGAGGAACTGATCATTTGAGTAAGAGGGAAAAAATGTTTCTTGCTGCCTCACTGTGTCTCTTTATGTGTGCTGCTACAGTACTGCTTTAGGAACAAGCATAGTGTGTCTATTTTTAGGACAAATGTGCCTACTATATCTTCGCCAACTCAATCTTTCTACATGACTAATTTGCAAGTTGAATTATCTTGGTAAATAGGCTGACTCACTTGCAAATAATCTGCAGAATTTAGCTATCCATTAGGCTGGTCTAGTGAATGAAGTTCTTTTGTCTTGCTTCAGTAACTGAAGCAAACTGCGTTAATAATAATAATAATAATATTAATAATAATAACAATGGTCATTCCAGGTATAAATAGAACCTTTATATAAAAAAGATTTATGTATTGAGCTATATTGATAGACAGGACAATGTACTAAGTCAAACAAGCAAATGAACTATAGATAACCAAAATATTATAGTTCAAGTGTATATGGATATAAATATATATTCATTGAATAAATATACACATTATTTACATTGTGGGATAATTTATATTTATCTTTCCTTTTATTAAATAGCTTATACAGCAATCAGTGTCCATAACATACCTGGTATGGTTCCTAAACCATGTTTAGGATGCATATTCTGACTTTTTCCTGATCCAATCTCCATTCTTATGGTGATTCATTAACACTCAAGCATTATCTATACATCATAAGTATAGAAAAATAATTAGTTGGTTTGGTTTTATCTGAAAGTTTTTACCTATAGGCATAATGATTGTTTTTATTTAAGGGCATATACTGTTCAATCAGCATTGTGTAAAAACAACAAAGTTAAAAAAAATGTGCTTGTGGATCTAAGAGTGACCAAGAGAGTGGTGCTATGAGAAAAGTTGCATGTGTGTACGTGTGTGTGTGTGTGTGTGTGTGTGTGTGTGTGTGTGCACATTCACCAAGGCCAAGATGTGGAATATGTTACAGTATCAGGCATATGAACAGTTGGTACATGATAAGAAACAGAATGTTGTCAGCGTGTTGTTAAACATTATTTTACAATAATTTTCCGCACAAAACATACCAGTTTTCCGTCGGTGCTTGAGGTACAAAATTCCTGCCACCAGCTTTACTTGAGCCAGGATTCAAAGTAGAAACTTTCTCATAGGTGCATGGGAAGCTTGTCATAAGCACATTATTTGCACTCCCCACCATTCTGGGATTTCTTTGTAATCACAGTCACTGGTTGTGAGTTCCTCCCTCTCTCTCAACTCTCAAGGGATCAAACTGATGCTGCCCCCTGACACCCTTCTGGCCCCTCTGCAATATGAAGCTGCCTCACCTGCAAACAGAGAGCCACCAATGAGTTGGATCTCTGCAAAGACATAAAAGATCCATGCCCTTGCTATGATACCTCTGAAATCTGCTAGTAATGGCATCTATACTCCTGAGGAGCAGGGAGTTTTTACTTTCTTCCCATATGCTATCCTCACTCCTAGAAATATTTTCTTAACTGTCATATCATGAAATCTCACTCTGGGTCTTTTCTTGAATGAGAGAGGTGAACCCTGAAGCAGAAAACCTTGAAAATCACCACACAATTTCATTTTCCCTCCTCCATAGCAGAATAAAATGTTAGAGTCCTCCCCAATCTTTCTGTAGTCGAAACCATCAACAAACAAAAGAGAAGCTAATACAAAATTGTGATCCCAGCCAGCATGATACCACCACACTGACCACAGGCTTTCCGAGAGTCCCCATGAAGACAAGAGGATAAACAAGACCAGAAAGATCATCTTCCTGCCCATTGACCCCAAAGTTGTGTTCAAATGATCTAAAGACACAGTTCTTCTTCCTGAAACCCAGGTTATCAGCTATATGAAAATATTCACTTACTCCCAAGGGAGTAAATAATGTCAGAGACACAACTAATAGTAATAGTTCAACCACGGCAAGTCATAATTTGATTTGGGGACTTCATAAACAGAATTCAAGAAATTATCTACCATCAGCTATATTAATGTGCAGTCCAATCTGTGCACAGCAGTGACAGGAGAAAGACAAAAGCACCTGACTCAGAGAAAATGATACCTAAGAGTTCAGGGGTGCCAGGAAGTGAGATGCATGAATTCTGAACTGAGTAGTTATGGGAATGTGTGACCAGAATGCACTTGATGAAAGAATTCCTTTCATAGAAAAAAAAAAAGAAAAACTGTGAACAAGTACAATCAAGTAAACACCTTCCAAATTGAGAGCATGAAAGAAAGCAGAACAACTGGACAGTATAGCAAATGTAGGGGGCAGAAGAAGTTCCCCATGATGGGGTCTTCTGGGAGACTAGAGTAGGTGGAATCTAGATTTTGCAGAATTCAATGAAGGCCCACTCTTTGTCACAATTTCATTGTGACTGATATTCCACTTGTCTGGTGGTCATAGAAACACAAATTTGCAAAGTAATAGACAGACTCTCAGCATCTCTTCTGTGGGATGGTCTCTGGAGTTTTGCTTTCACAGACAGGTTTCATGGACAGAAGGTAATAATATGATGTAGTTACTGCCAATGTAGACCAGAGCAAGGAAATGAACAAAGTAAGTAAAACCTAAAATCAAGTTTGCACACTTACATTTTTGAAAGCCTTGTCTAGGCATTTGTAGAAGTCTCAATTGGTAGTGAACAGCGTAACAAAACATGTGAAGAAAATACACTGCCTCACAATGTAGAAAAAGAGCTAGGAAGTATCTTTTATTATCATTAAGTGTATATTTTTTCAGATAATAGAAAATTAATAATTTAAAATTAATACACAAAAATTTTTAAAGAAATTATATCCAAGCACAATATAAAACTAAATTAGTAGAACCTGAAAAATGGTCATAAAATCATCTGATAATGTCAAAACTTTAATAAGTCAAATTACTAATGGGAGCAAGAAATTTTAAACACATGAAAATACCAGTTAGAAAACTTAAAGGAAAGATTAATTTTAACAGCCAACCTAAATATATAGCTATATATTTCATCAATATAGTCTAAACATCTTATTCTTGTGATATAAGGGCTATGTTGATAAATCATATAGACTTTTCCTCTCACCATTGTATCTATTTTTTCCATACATTACATTAGTGATGGCTACAGACTCGCAGAGCAACCAAACAGAATATGTCATTTGTAGAGCACCTATTAAGTTTTCATGCTGTATTTTACCAATAGGTAGAAGAATTTTGGCTGCAGTGAGTCTTATTAGTTAGAAACTATCCCAGGAACAAAAATCTGAGAATTCAAAGGAGTGGCCACACATTTGCCTTGGAACAAATCAGAACCAGGGGCATTCATTCTCTGAAGTAAAACACCTTTGCCAAGCTGGGAAGAGAGATCAGAATTTTAGAGCACTAGCTGTGCTTCCAAAAAACTCTGATTTGGCAGAGAACCCTGACTGCTCTGTGGACTAGAGAGGGAGGAGAGGGGAGTGGGAGGAGGGGGAGAGAAATGGGAGGTAGGGAAGAGGCGGAATTTTTTTTTAATAATAAAAATAAAAAAGAAAGAAAGAAAATCTCTGATTTGATTCCAAGGACCTGCATAGAAGTTCACATCTGTCTGTAACACAAATTGCAGGGGATCTGAAGCCCTCTTGAGGTTTTTGGGTGTACGTTGCATGCACATAGTACAAAAACATAGATGCATGCAAAATAAACACCCATAAACACGAAAAATTAAAACAGAAACAAAGAAGAAAATCCAGTCCAACATATTGATTCAACGGTCTGCTTTGGCAAAGCAAACAAACAAGCAAAAAACAAGGGTGAGCACTAAGGTAGAGTACAGACAAAAAGATAAAGCAGAGAATATTGTAGAAATTATCAAATACAGTACTCATCCTGTAACTCAGCACAGTATGTATTAATTTATTTTAATAAACTGATCTCAAGTATAGAGATATGTTTTAAGTCATTTTTTTGTTAAACAGCTATGCTAAGGGATTCGTAAGCATTTACTTTTTTCTTTCAGTGTACATCAGACTTACTGTCAGATAATTCCAGATGCCATCCAGATGCTGCAATCATATGAACAAACAGCAAAGGATACTGTCCTTGAAGATCTCTTTCTTGTAGTTTCTTGCCGCCTCTTGTGTGTGTACATATGCACATGTACACAGATATTCAGGGTAAATGTGTGTCAGGGATCAGTCATATTTTTCTTTAGCTACTTCTCCTGTTCTAGAATCACTGTGTAGGCTAGACTGACCCATCTGTTTCTTCCTCTGAGGTCCTAGGACACCAAGGTCGTTGTAACAACCTGGGTTTTTCAGATGGATTCTAGAGACTGACATGCAGTCCTGGTGTTTACAAAGCAAAGATTTTTCCCAACTGCCCCCTTGCCAGCTCTGTATGGAGAGCATGTCTGAATGACAGAAAGATCATTAAACCAGAACTGTACAATTCCAGTTAAAGTGAACTGGATGTAAAGCACAGCCAAGTATGTGAAAAAGTAGATCCATATCCAGATAGACTTGCCACAAAAGCCTTCCTTGATGAGCTGAGAGGAGATTTTAATGAATGGCAGGTTGGTGTCTGGGTGAACAGAATCACAGAACCAAGTTTAGCATAAGAAGCATGAAGCATGTTTAACATGACTGTGACCAGAATAGAATTGGTTGGGCATGGTGTGTGATAGGGGAAGGAAATCTAATCAGTAAGGCAACAGTAAATGGAAGAGCTTTGTGATAACACACTTATCCTCACTATGGTTCTGCCTTGGAGTTAGTTATTGTCACATTCCACCTTTCTACACGCACAAACAAAACTTAAGACATTTGCTCAGTCTGACACAAGAAATGGCTTGCTGTTCATGAGTGACTGGACTATATGTGTAACCTGCTTTTTCTATACATGCCCATACATTATATATGTCTGTACACCAATGCTGATCCTAATTCTGATAATTATATCCTGAATTTGGAATAGTTTTACACATAAATATCTCTCCATATTGCATATATATATGGAATATTTATATGTGAATATATTATATATATTTAGTTCTAAAATCTCCTATTTCAGATTTAGCTCCATGAACTATATTTATGTGTCTTATTTTAGTTTTATAATAAATATGATTTTATATATAATATCAAGTATAGTTACAATTTCCCAATTTCATCCCTAGCACTACTGAACCTGAGTTGACTTCAATGTCTAGTGGTTCTATTGAAAATACAAATTATATACAATATTATTCCATTGACAAATATATCCAGAACTAAAACTGAGATGTTACTGAACTGCTTCCAACAAAAGAAGACACTTCTTACTAGGCTAGGGATTACCTTCCAGGTTGATAGAGATGTCTCATGTTGGAATGCAGGCTGATACATAGTACAGCTCTAAGCCTGAATAGAAAATTCTTTTGATATCCTTCAACAACATCTGTATTATGTTCTACATGAGACCTGTGCTTTCCTTCATTGATCAATTATACTTCATAATTCCTAGATCATAATTTCACTAAAGCAAGCATTTTCTTCATCTTTTTTTCATGTAGCATACTCTCCTAGAAGATACTTTATACGTGCAAGTTTGAATAATGGATCAACTTCCCTCTTGAAGGTAGTCTTGGTTCTGAAATTTTTGCTGAATATTAAAACTGTTGCTTATATTGCAAATGTAAGACCTCTGAGATTTTCCAGAGTCATTCTGCACGAGAACTTTGTTCATTCACCAATTAAATAAAAGGAAAGACCACTTGGCAATTTGCCAGTCTTCAGTTCCAACAGACATTTCTTTTTTGTTTTTTGGCCTGTGGGCTTGGCATTAAAAGTAGAGGGATGATACACTACTTTGTGGGTCCACTAGATGCATCTCAATTCTTCCATTTGAAGATAGAAATTTCATTTCTAAATGATTATATATCAAAAGTTAATTTAATCATGTTGTATAACCTATTTTGTCTACTTAAAATGCATGAATATCCATGAACAATGACATGATAGAAAAGATGGAAAAGAAGAAGAAAGAACAGAAGCACTGAAAAGGAAATGTCAGGCATGGGGAGCAACCCTTTCCTCATCTTCTGTCATTTGGATGAATTTTCACATAGTTCAAGAAATATCCCAGAACATCTTCCCTTCATATATCCTTCGTACAGCCTTTGAAATTTAATATAATCTCAGGACTTCTAAGATGGCTTGCCAGGTAAGAGTGTTCGCTTGGAAATCCTAATGAGCTGATATCAGTCCTTGGAACCCATACTAAAATGATAAGCAGTTCTTTGACTTCCTTATGTGCGAAGTGGCACACACACACAGGCATATACCATCATTACAGTAATAATAACATGCATGCTTTAAATCTAGGCAAAGAATAACAAATGCAACTACTAAAATCAGAAATTGCACCTGGAATTATTCTCATGATTTTAAAGAACAAGAGAATTTTGTTTGTTTTGAGTTTTTCATTTATTTTAAATACTGACAACAGTTTCTCCTCCATCCTCTCCTCCCATTCCCTCCCTCCACCTCCCTTCTCCCTTCTACCCCTGCATGTGTGCACTCCACCTCCTCTGTTTCCATTTAGAAAAGGGTAAACCTCCCATAGTAATCAACAAAGCATTCCATATGGGATTGAAATAGGATTAAGTTCCTCCTCTTGCATCAGGCATGGCAAAGCAACTCAGCATGAGGAATAGGTTCACAAAAACCAGGTCAAGTGCCAAGGATGGGTACTAATCCCACTAATAGGAGTCTAACGAACAGACCAAGATACACAGCTGTTACACACATGCAGAGGTCCTAGGTAGGTCTCATGCAAGGTTCTTAGCTGTTGGTCCATAGTTGGTGTGCTCCCAAGAACTCAAGTCAGCTCTCTTTGTGGATTCCCCATCATGACCTTGATGCCCCTGACTCATATAATCCTTTCTTTCTCTCTTCAACAGAACACTCCCAGTGATAGACAGTGCTCTACATATGCTTCCATCAGTTACTGGATGAATGCTCTCTGATGATATTAGAGTAGTTACCAATCTTATTGCGGGAGATAGCCAGTTCAAGTACCTATCCACTATTTCTAGGAGTCTTAGTTGGGGTCATTCTTTTGGATTCCTGGGAATTTCCCTGGTACCAGGCTGATTCCCAACCCCACAGATGAATCCAATAATGAAAAATATATCTTCTTGTCCATCCCCAACTCACCAAACCGGATTCCTCATGCTCCCATACCTCCATCCCCCTCCTTCTGCCCCTAATTTACAGGAGATCTCTTCTAACTAGGTAGCAAGGAGAGTCAAAGTGAGATGCATGGATTTTCTTGGGGAGGGAAAATAGAACAATTCAACGAACATCTTAAAAATTAGGTAAGAAATGGTTTTCTGGAGAAAAAAGCATACTAGGAAAACTAATATAGTAGACTGCATTTTAATACGTTTTCTCCATCCTTTTAGATCACAAAGTGTAGTAAAACAGAAAAAAAAATCAAATAAGAGATGACCGTAAGAAATAGAGAAAATAATATAATGAAGACAACATTGGGGAACAAGAGGAAGGCACAAGACGGCAATAGCAGTGCGGCCTTCATCAACTGCTTGGCACTTCCTTTTAAAATGGGCCAAGGCAATGATAAGCACAATTGGGAAAAGCAAGGCAAGGAGTTGGAAATGAAATTGAATTTCTTGATACACAATACTAGAGCTATGACAGTTGACAGGGAAGAAATAAAAAGAAAAACACAACAACACAAAATATAATTTAGCTCCATAAGTCTTGTAGAGACACGGAAGGCAGCCTGAGCAAATACTTTGCTCATGTTAAACGTCCATAGCTTTTTATATTTGTTGTGCAAAATCATTTAGCAATTGTTTTTTCCGAGAGAGTCTCACAAACCCATCCCCTCTTAGATGTCACCTCAATCTGGATACAAATGGTAAAGTCTCCATAATTTCCTAAATCACTGTTAGTAATAATATATAAAAATCATTATCCACAATTTTATACAGTTATTTTTAATTATCACAGAGTCATTTTTGCATAGCATTGATGTTACGAGAAATAGTTTGTCACAGATGTGAACTTGTGTGTGTTGACCTGCACTGATTTAATAAAATAACAACATCTACAAAAGTGCTTTTGGGAATTTCCATCTTCCACAGAAAATGAGAAGGAGATTAAATAGTCAGAGGCTAATAGAAAGATGACTATTAGCTTCTGATTCAGGTTGTACACTAACTGCAAGGAAGTCAGGAGACTTTAAAGAGTCAAGCTGCTGAGTAAGCAGATAAGTATTGCTTCACTTATCTTTGGACTGTGACTCGCTGTGAGAGAAGCAGAAATAAAAAATTAAAAACAAGCAGGTTGGAGGTTTCTTTAAAATGATAATTATTTGACAACAAACAGACTAAAACCAGGGAAAAGTTGAGGATTTGTTCTGAATAAAGAAAAAAAATTAACTTGTTCTTTTCATGAAGGCTTGAAAGACTGAAGTGACATTCAGAAAGAAAGCTTTTCCTACTTGTCTGTCTGCATTTGTCTGTCTTCACTTGGCATGTCTGTAGCTTAGTTCCAGGACTAAGCAGAATAAAATAAATTCAGCTTGGGTAGCAAAAGTGGAAAATAAGAAAAGGAAAGGAAAAGAAAGGAAAACAAAGATGTTGAGGAACACACAGATTGGGGGGCATACACATTCTAAGCTGAATCTAAGTCAGAGATGTTAAGGTCGCATCTATTTTAGCCTGCTTCTCCTGCAGACTTAAATGTTGCCAGCCAGTATTCTGTTCATGATCTATGGCTAGGTCTCCACAACAACTCTACTCATTAGATTGAATGGTCCAAATACAAGAGCATGTAAGCAGAAAATAATTTAGTCTTTCATACATGGGTCTATAATTCTATCCCATTCACTACTTCTTCCCTTACCCCTAAATATTTTATCATTATTTTTGGATAATACAGTGTTTCCATGCTGTGTTCACATATTAAATATCATCATTTTAGTAGTGGAAATACCTAGTTGGGTGGATATCTTGCTTAACACAATGGAGAGCTTTCTACCGACTATGTTCTAGCTCAGCTGGGCACTGGTAGTCTAGGAAGTACCTTGATGAGGTCAAGAGAATACAGCTGTCTACACCAGCCAGCATCTTGCCACTTGCAGACAATAAACTTGCCAAACAATGATCCTTTAAAACTTCTATTTCCCCCTCCCATGATATGTTAGGGTCAGTGTACAACTTTAGATCTATAGAATCATCAATAGAAAAGGATTCCATTTCTCCAGATTGACACAAGGATCCCTCTGCTCCACAGAGGAACACCCGGACCCACTGAAATCTGCAGACTGAAAGGGCCTCTTTTGTTCCAGTGAGAGGATGTTTGACCTGACCTTTAATAGTTTATGATTTCCAGCAAGGTAGAGTCTTGATCTGAGGTCTAGAACTTTCTCTAAAACCCACTCTCTCTATTTCTGGAAGTGGGAGAAGCTGAGCCAATAACATATTATGCCTATATGAAGAAACCTCCAGATATTCCTCTCTGAGGGTTCAAAAGCTTTCCTGGTTTGAGAACTGGTCTAAGTTCTTGAGGACTAAGAAGGCCTCAGAAAAGGAGATCCTATATACTGCATGATTCTGGACCTCTCTTGTGTACCTTGTAACTGATAACCAATGTGCATAATGTATAATCACTTGGCAGTACTTCCTATGAGATCTCTAAGCTATTTTAATACAGTGTCCAACCTCAGGAGGAGGTTGTGGCAACTCCTTGAGTTTGTAAGCCAGGTGTCAGAAATCTTAAACCTGGTAGCTGAAGTGGGGGTAATTTATGCAGCTGATGTTTAAATTGTGGGATGTACAACTAACCCCAGATAATTAGGATCAGAATTTAATTAATTGATAGAGAGACTTAGAGGGTTTCTGGAGGATTGGAGAACAGCCGGTTGGTGGGAAGAAAACACGCAACCACACTATCACCATCAGAAGTGCTTTTAGATGGAACTCTAATGTGATCAGGGGGAGGAGATATGTTGTCATTCTTTGTGAGGTCCTGCTATTTGTTCCTTACCTTTTCAGTAGTAGATGGGCAGCAAGAATCATGACCGTTAGGCATTGTGCAGTAGCCCAGTGGTATTTCTAAAATTGTGGAAATGATTGATAAATCTTGTATCTGTGTAAGAGAGTCTATTTCCCTCTATGCATCCCTCCTAAAAAGCTAAGAACTGTGAAAGCTAGTTCTGGCACTGAGGAGATCACTCGTTGGGTAATAGTTTCTTGTCACAGGAGAAAAAGGCTTGGAACAAAATGAGTAAAAGGGGGACAGACAGCCGTTAGTAAGTTCTGTCTGCTCCATAGGCTACCAGGGTTTAATGTACCTTCACACTCTAATGCATGCATCTGCTTACATGGACTTTCTCAACATGCAGTAGTGCTTCTAGGCCTATGGCTGTGTTTAAGCAGATCTCTGATGGTCTCCCTTTTTTGTGGTCTCCTTTCCCTGGGTAAAGTCCTTTGAAACACACACTCCAACTTACCCACAGTCAAGAACACAAATCATACATAAAAGGTGAGTCACCAACTTCTAATTCACAGGAAGCTGCAGAGAGGCCAGGAATAGAGAGGTAACTTCTCAGAAGTGATGTGTAGGCACCATCATCATTCACTTAGCATCATCAGTGGTACAGAAGATTGAGTGGAGAAATTCTAACATGTGGATGCTATGTGTATGGGCAGTTATGAGTTTCTCAGT